TTAGTGTTAGGCTGTAAAATGTTCATTCGTCGTTGCTGACGACATCCTCTTAAGAGTCGCATCCTTAAAAGAGCTTTTATCTTCCCAAGGAGTTTTGTTGTCTATCAATTCCGTCGGTTTAAACACTACTATTATACGTACTAAAAACGCTGACTGAAATCAGTTTGAGTTGGATTTTCTTTTCACATCTGAAGCCGCAATAAAACGTGCCATCCAAAACAAAAACTGTTTCTTTGCATGATGACGGGTTTAGAATGATTATGTACGAGTTAAATGGAAGTGTTTATAACATGTTATTTAATTAGAGAAACCTGTTGGTCACACATGCAAATCGGGCGGGCAAAATCGCGATAAAACGGTCCAAAGACTAATTACAAACAACTTTTCCCTATCAAGAATCGACGCATTAACGGAAAATTAATTGTAACGAAATGGGCGCACTAATGAACGTATTGGACATATTTTCGCAAACAATCAACGTCTTTTTCTAAAGTAGAAAAAAATGACTTTTAATTAAAAACCCATTTGGTTCGCCATTAGAAAATTCTTGAAATGGTGAGATAAAAAGCCGATGCAAGCGTGACATGTTTGCCGTCGATTCGTTTGCTAGTTTTATCAAATAATAAATATTTTTCGGACCGGATGGCCTAGACCTATAACCACATCGATCACAGTAATCAGAACTAGACCGCAGCCAAACATCAACAGAGCAATTTTGCACAGATATTGGGAATCGGCAACATTATCTATTGGGAGTTATTTCAAGCTACCCAACCACTATCTAAAACAAACATGGTTCCGTGCGCTTTATCTCTCAAATGCGAAGCCAATATCTCTTCGGGGGTTGTTTTTCGAGTCAATAAACGATTAGCAAATCGAGCCGGACATTTGATTGTGGTTAACAAAGAATACTGAATGATTCACTTTTGCTAATGCCTTCAGTGGACCGTTATGTGGGTGAATGGATGCAATTAGTCTAAAGTTGGCAAACAGAGTAATGGCTCTATTGGCCATTGGAATGGGTCAATGATAACAAACTCTCAAGTTAGTTCATGTTCGCACAGCAAACCACACGAATTTGCTCAATGTTTGAGACTCATTGGTATATTTTTTCCAGATTCAGCACACATCAGACAACATGAATCAATCGCAGCAGTACTGTTTGAGATGGAACAACCACCGAGTGAATTTTATAAATGTTTTCCGGGAACTTTTTGAGAACGGAGAATTTACCGATGTGACTTTAGTTTGCGAGGACGGCCATGCGGTCAAAGCCCATCGCCTGATATTGGCAGCTTGCTCCCAATACTTTCAAGTAAGTCCGATTTAAAAAAAAAAAAATTTTTAATTACATTCCGATACATGCACATGTATAAAAAACACAAAATGAAACGGCGTTAAAATTTAGCATTTAGTTTCTATTCAGTTCAAGTTTTGCAAAAATAAATTTCCTCATTATCCAAATCCAAAAAACAATGTTGCGTGACTTGAAAAGTGTAACTGGCCTCCGTATTAATGCACAAACTTGCAATTTTACCACTTTTTATTTTTGCAGAAAATTTTTTTGGACTGGCAACGCAACGATACCACGGTGGTTATACTAAAAGATGTGCGTATCAGCGAACTGAAAGCCATCTTGAACTACATGTACCATGGCGAAGTGAACGTTGCTCAAGAGCAACTAAGTGACTTGCTGAAAGTTGCCGAAACTCTCAAAGTTAAAGGGCTGGTAGAAGAGCGCAGGTAAGTCGCCCCATTGGAAACTGTTGCCGATCAGTTGGTTCAATAAGTGATTGTGCATTACAGAACCTCAAAGCCGCAAAATGAAGAGCCCGCGCTGGATCATTCGCCATCGATCTCATCCTCTAACATTGTGCATAATCCCGCCCATAGCGGCAGTAGCAACGGTTCGCCACCTCATTCTACCAGTAGGATCCACAAACATTCATACAGACCGTATGAGATCAGTCCACCAGAGCACAACTCTAGGCCTATGCATCCGTGGAACAGTCTCAGCTACTTGCCACCACCTCCAGATGTGGTAAGTTTTCAAATGTTGTTCAGTTACTCGCGCTAAAGACAATTTAATATTACTAAATACGAAATCTACTTAATCGTACAAAATAATGATGTAGGTGATGTAACAAACATTCAAAATCCGAATATTTTTCGAGTTACAGTTCATCAAATTTCATTTTTTTTTAATTATTATATTCTGACACGCCTTCGTGACAAAAAGACTAGTAGAAAACCAATTGTGCCATGATATAAAAGATAATGAGCCAATTAATAGGTATGTGTTTTCCACTCGCATTTTCGGTCCATATGTTAGTTATTAACAATTTATTGCAAAAAAGGCGATTTTTGTTTATAACTTTGAAACTAATGGAGCAATCGGAATGCCCTAACGAGATGATTTCTAGAGAAGAAAAATATCTATAAAGTTGTTAGTAGTGTAAATTGTAGTAAAATTGTAAAAATGTAGGTGATGTAACAAACATTCAAAATCTGAATATTTTTCGAGTTACAGTTCATCAAATTTGATTTTTTTTTACTTATTACATTCTGTCACGCCTTCGCGGATCAAAATGAAAACTGATACGAAGTTTTATCTTAGCGATCTTTCTGATAAACATCTGTTTCTCCACTTTACGGTATAAGATGCATATTTTGCGTAAAATTTTGCCACATTTACTTTTGCGTACATGTGCGCAAAAGTCAAACAAATGAACAGTAGAGAAAAGTGCTTCTTTTTGATCATCGCTTCAGATCGAAAAATGGCACTTTTAGATTCATTCGAATAAAGAAACAAATACTTATCCCATTTTAAACAGTTGAAAACACTGGACAAAAATGTGCTCTTTCCACGGCTCGAAAACAGATGCCAAATTTCGCAATTTATAGGAACTATTAATTGTATTGCCGTTCAATTTAGGCTAATTTCACAAGAGAGAATGTGTTGTTAGAAAAACTAAAGCACTTTTCAAATTAGGCTTGCACTTGCCACAACACTTGGTGCATTTTTTGACGAGCATCCGAAAAGCGCTCTGGTTTATTTGCTTTGTTTCATTGGCTCACCAATGTATATCAAAAAATGTATACCAAAAATATCAAACAATGAACGATTCGTTTTTTCCAGGCACCTCATTCTCCGCATCCCAATATAGTCATATCAACGCCATCACCGCAGCACAATAACGCTTACGAAAATATGAACTCCGATATGAGCGCCCTCAAAAGGAAGAAACCGAACAATCACATGATGCAACGCGACACGCCCATCCTGCGGACTGTTCTTGGACAAGGCCAAATGGAGTCTTCTCAGCCCGTCAGCCTGGTGTGCCGTTCGGAAAGCAGCGATGCGCCCGCTAATGAGGAAAGACTTTCGATGGTAAGCAGGCTTCAATCAGCTCGTTGCAATGATCTTCTACATCAAAAAACTGTTGCAGAATATGAAAAACGAGCCCTCAGAAGACGCACAATCGCCGCCCTACGCAGATTTCAACGAACGGATGGCTGTAGGGGACGACAAGTCGAAGCTGAGCATTCCCTCCTCTTCCCCACAGTCGTTCCCCAGGGACGCGAGTACTTGTGGAATATCAGGAATTGCCACATACGTCCCCGCTCAAAACCGTGAATGGAAAAGATACAAACAGTATACGAGAGATGATATATCGGCGGCCATTGATGCAGTGCGGAATGGAATGTCCGCGCTGCAAGCAGCGCGCCTGTACAAAGTTCCCTCGAGGACTTTGTACGATAAAGTGAAGAAGTTGGGCATCACCACCAGCAGGCCCTTCAAGCGAGGATCTAATGGGGGTGTGGTTGGCTACCATTATCCTACCGGCTCGCCCTACAGGAACAATCACCTGAGCGAAGAAGAGGAAACTTTGAATAACAACAAAGCCCTACTGGAGGCGAGCACCTTCCTGCACGACACCATTGACGGGAGTATACCGATGGATGATCGAGCAGCCTTTACAGCGATGGCGGCTGTTGCATTACATGCAGCTACAGGCTGTTCGCTGAGTCCGAATATCAGTCAGAGGCGCAGTCCAAGTTCCAGTCCAACAATGCTCAAGTACAGAGGCCCTAATAGTATGACGCCCCCTGCCATCAATAAAACCGTTAAAATGGAATCGGACGACCATGTGGAGGATCTCTCGATTAACAAAAAGCATGACGTGATGGAATCGCGCGTGATTATGCCCCCCATGACTCAGTTGGCTGCCTTAATGAAGAAAGAGGAAATTGAAGGTAATGGAAACTAAGAGTCAAGGGAATGACGCAAAAAACGTGCAATAATCATGTGGGTGACAGTCGTTCACTCACTGTTAGTTTATAGACCTTAACATTGCATAACCGAGTGCCTGTTTGTTGTATTATAATCAATCGCACTGTATGAGGACCAATGCTCACCAGTTTTGCTACAATAGTTCCTCTTATGGAAACTGAAACTCATAAGACTGATAGATATACTATATGATTTTTATTTTATGAGACTGATGACTTTAATGATACGATGCCAGCAAAATGAATTAGGTCTGCATACTTTGACGACTTCTGCATGTAATCGGCAACATGGCTTTTTTGTTACAAATTTTACGCAAAATTAAAGACGTTTGTTTCACTTTTATTGTTCTGCTGCTACCGCAAACTTTTCAAGTTCCCCCAGTATTTACCTGCTTGCAGCAACATCGGAACATTTTTTTTAGCGAAACATACTGCAATAAATGGTTTTCAACAGCATTTAAACGATTTTTGGATATTGCTTTAAATGGGCCCAAATGAATTAAGGTGACAAGGGAAAAACGAGATTCTCATCAGTATATGTCTGGTACTTACGGATGTGCGTAAGATCGGATGCCACCAAATTTTCGGCTGATTTCAAAAATGTCAATCAAGGCCCCCTATCCTCTACGTTTCTATTAGAATGTAAACCACATTTTTTCCGGAAAATAATTTTTTACCAACATACTGATTAATAAATGGAAAGTGTACAGGGTGGTTCAAATACGACCGTTTTACGTATGTATTTAAAAATGTTTTATCGTGACGAAAAGAAGAGTAGAAAACCAATTGTGCCATGATATGAAAGATAATTAGCCAATTAATAGGTATGTGTTTTCCACTCGCATTTTCGGTCCACATGTTAGTTATTAACAATTTATTGCAAAAAAAGGCGATTTTTGTTTATAACTTTGAAAATAATGGAGCAATCGGAATGCTCCAACGAGATGATTTCCAGAGAAGAAAAATATCTATAAAAATTACAGTTCGAACGCCTCAATCGGATAATTATCTTGTGACAAATTTGAAAAAAACCGAAAAATTGGTTGTTTTTTTTTTAATTCATAGGCCCGCCATTTTTTGAGCTGGAGCGTTAAAGTTTTGTGGGAAAGTAGGGATTGTAATGTTCTTTATATGTACCAAGGCCAGGTGCTGTCGAATAATTAGTTTTCTCAAAATCGCGATTCAAAGTTTGCAGTTCGTCTTTTTATCTATACTATCCTCTACGTTTCTATTAGAATGTAAACCATATTTTTCCGGCAAATAATTTTACCAACATACTGATTAATAAATGGAAAGTGTACAGGGTGGTTCAAATACGACTGTTTTATGAGGGTCGATGTCTCCCAAAAACAAACCGTCTTCATGAGTTTCTGATGTAAGCAAGTGCAGATTTTGGGAGAGGCCAAGCTATCGGTATTTAAAAATGTTTTATCGTGACAAAAAGACTAGTAGGAAGCCAATTGTGCCATGATATAAAAGATAATGAGCCAATTAATAGGTATGTGTTTTCCACTCGCATTTTCGGTCTATATGTTAGTTATTAACAATTTATTGCAAAAAAGGCGATTTTTGTTTATAACTTTGAAACCAATGGAGCAATCGGAATGCCCCAACGAGATGATTTCTAGAGAAGAAAAATATCTATAAAATTACAGTTCGAACGCCTCAATCGGATAAATATCTTGTGACAAATTTGAAAAAAAACCGGAAAATTGGTAGTTTTTTTTAAATTTATAGGCCCGCCATTTTTTAAGCTGGAGCGTTAAAGTTTTGTGGGAAAGTAGGCATTTTAATGTTCTTTATATGTGCCAAGGGCGGGTGCTGTCGAATAATTAGTTTTCTCAAAATCGCGATTCAAAGTTTGTACGTTACCGTAAGTCCGCCTAAAATCAAGAATGAAGAAGAAGGGAAGACAGACAGATAATTTACAAGAATACAAGGAACAACAATTTCAATAATTTTCAATAGCTTAAAAAAACTGCTTATGGTATATTAAAATCGCGCAGAGCTGCCACTACAAATTTAGAGAAAATAAAAACGCTCCCGAGTTAATCGGTTCTTCAAGCGGGTCGCAAGTTAGCCGGTTATTCCCCTCAGCCGTCGTATTAGCTTCCTGAGAATAACACTCCCGAAACACGCACTTGATAATATCCGCAATGACGGAAAATATATAGCTGAGTAAAATTTATTAAAATCTCGAAGTCTGCACTTGTTTACATCAATTTTCACTATCACCCGAAGTAGAGAATCACCCTGTACCTTGGTTGGCCCTGCAGGTATTGCTAAGAAAGGTGCGCCAACATTTTTCTCCCTATCTAAAAATAAGTGTTTTATGTTAAAACAGTCCATTTTTTACACATTGTAATTGTATTGCAATTTTCGAAAACCATTTCATGCAGTAGGTAGATATCGCCCATTTTTAAACTACAGCTAAAATCAAAACAAAGCAGAAACAAAACGTCCGTTAGTGGATATTGCAATTTATCGCGTTAATTTACATTCGAAAAATTCCAAATCGCCGTTTTATTAGAGCTTGTTAGTGGACATACTTGTATAGAAAACAAAAAATATTGACCATTAGTGTCCGAGGTGAAGTAGGAAACTTTCAACATTGATGTGATTTGTCGAGAAACTTTGTATATAATTGAACAGTCAAAATTGGTTTTGGGCTTACGATTAGAAACTTAGCCGTTAATTGATACGCGGTAAGAAGCGACGCCTATGTGAGACGATGAGAAGAGAAACTCAGTTAGAAATGTAGCAACATCCTCAATTATCTAACCAGAAAAAGTACTCACTGAACAGATTGTTTGCCACATTAAAGCATTGCTAGCGTTTTCAATATGTAGTTGTTTAGGTTTTCCTGTTAAGTATAAGGTTTAGGTTGTATCCCCCAAGTTAGTTGTTCTAAGACTGAAGTTTATGTTTAGAGTGAAGCTACCACATTCTTGTTAAAATATTTCAGACAGCGGTATCGTGGACCAGTAATATGAATTATGTAAAACCATGTGCTAGTCCTTTTAAATGTGCCTTTTCCACTACTCTAATAAGCATAATAATAAAAAACAATCTATTAAATGTTACAACATTCCAGTAGATGTATGAAACGAACACTGTTTGTCTGCAATAGCATCCAGGAAATGAGCACTAGCATTTATGATTGGTAGACCTGTACATGTAACTTTTTGCCATTTTAGTTAAGACTGATTATATTTTTATTTGTTGAATATTGTTGTCGAGTATTTTTAGAGTACGGCTTTGTTATAATGTAACTAGATCTCTTCGTAAATAATCAATTGCAATGCGCCTACTTTAGGTGAGAAGACCTAAAACACATCCCAAAAAGTTATCTACCTCAGGAATTAGTTTTTATTTACGCAATCGTTATTTATATGAATTGAATTATACAAGCTGTGTAAAATAGGTCGCTGACATCTATGATTCTAGACAACAAATCGTACCGTATTAAATGTATTTAATTGAATTTATATATATATACTTGATTCGTTGGGCCACTTATATAACCTAAACTGTTTCTCAGTGGAAAAAACCATCAAATACAAGATTTTTAGGCTCTAATTGCCGCAAAGGAATAAGAATGTTGATCGCGATTCTCTCTCTATTAGTGACCCCGTTTTACACTTCAACAGTTTATGTTCTACAATACAGCCGCTGGACTCCAATCCAGATCGAAAACCTCGTTTTAATGATTGTTCAAATTTTATATATATATATTTATACATATTGTATAATTTACTGATAGTTTTATTACGGTTTGAAGCACAAGTGCACAATATGTAAAGCATTTTGCCAATGTAAGTGAATTTAATTAAAAAAAACCATACATATATTTTACCTATGCAGTTTTAATTAATAAACCAGCTATACAGTGTGTCCAGTATAAAATCATGTCTGTCATCAACTTCTTTGAAGTCGGAATAGCAACGGATATACAGGGAAAAAAGAATAAAGTGCGTTTTATAAAATCCTTTACCCGTGAGGGTATGAAATGAGCGTGAGTTTGAAAATAAAGTAAAAAATAATCTAGGCCGACTATGTTCAATGAGGCCGAAGTCAACTTTTGTTTTTCTTATGGGCGCCTTATTGAATTTCTGCATTTTTAAATTCCCCTTTAAATATGCTCTTCCACCATGTATAACATGTTTATCCTCATTCAACATAGTGGGCCTAAATTATTTTTTACTTTATTTTCAAATTCACGCTCATTTCGTATGTTGTTACGCCTAATTAAGTAGTATCATCAGAGATTAGTAGATCTACTAGGTGATCTCTGGTATCATATATTTTGCCTACTCACCCTGTATATGCTTATTTGCCAATCACTGCCTTAAATCGCGAAAGGGGCAACGGCAATGGAATTTTCACTATTTTCTGTATTCTACAAGCACACTGACTCCATCTCACCAACATTGAAACACTTGAAATGGCCAAGAATACAATAAACTTTTTTTTTAGAAACTAATTGAGTTGGATAGAATACATCGACCGGTTTAGTAATGTTAAAAGCAGTCTCGAATCAATTCAAAGAGAAATTACTGTTTTTAAATCCCGAACCGCACGACGTTTAGAACACTATCATTTTTAGATAAGTTTTATATTGTTGAGGCGGATTAATTTTTTTACAAACTTCTTTTTAGGTATTTCGCCCCAAAAATTTTTGTCTTTAAAAAGACAGAATTTCCTCACGTCTTTTATTACAGATGATAGTTCTTGGTTACTTTTTGATAAATAGTTCGTTCTTATTGCGAAATAGGAGCACTATTTATCAATCTGTAATAAAAGACGTGAGGAAATTCAGTCTTTTTTAAAGAAAAATTTTTGAGGCGAAATACCCAAAAAGAAGTTTGTAAAAAATCTATAATTGTTAGTTCCATTAAAACCAAAATGGCGAAGGAAATCTTGACAACCTTCCCTCTAATGCCAGCGCCATCTGCGGGAACTAGTGGCAACCAAAAGACGTAATCTACCATTCCAGGCATCAATTGGCAAAAGTTTGTTGATCTTCGTCGCCGTCACGCAATAAAACAAAGAACGCAACACGATTCGAGCGCGACTAACTCACCCCCTCAATCCAGTGACGTCAGATATCATCCGATTTTCAGTGACATACGATTCGCTGAAATTTGTATGCTGATTGGAAAATTGTTTAGCAAAAAAAAAGGTGATTTCAGTGTTAATTTCGCGAAAATGGCCGAAAATATCGGCGGTTTTAATGCTGCAGACGATTTTAATATGTCCGATCTGGTGGAAATCGATGGTGAGTGATTGTTTTGGTTGGTTTTCGTTGGTTTGTGTTGGACCGCAGTGCCAAACAACCCCAAACCCCGGTGGTTTGCCATAATTATTTATGCATGTTTATTCGTTAGTTTTGGCCTCAAGTTATTAGCAAAGTTGAGTTAATTGTTTAAAGCTTTGCGGTTTTTTCCTTGGGTAGTTTTCGATTTGATCTGAAACCAGAAGCGGTTATGCGAAGGCAACTTTAAGGGTGGAACGCACTTGGGATCGTTCTTTGCAAAGGGGGATTTCGGGCTATTTGCATTCCTATTTTGGATAGTACTGTTTTTGGAAATGGCATACTGGCGTGGTTAAATGAGGAATATTAGCTAAAGCAGGATTCCTTTCAGCGTAAAGAGGAAAAAGATGGGCATTTTGTTCGTAACAAATATTCATGCGTCACTAAAATAACAAATCTTTTTGGTAATTAGGTACCCATATAGATCTGCCCCGTTTAGCTTTCGGTAACAAAACTACTCACATTGTAGTTTGTCCCATGCCCAGCACTTTTTATTATTATGTTTAAGTAGGTTAAAAAAGCCGGTTTTAGCCAAAATTGCAATGTTTTGTGTCGGAAAATATGCTTGACGAAACGAGGGAAATACACAGAGCAAACGCTATTGAAAGAATTTTTGACTGCGATAGAGAAAAGTAGTATAAAAATTACTGTTTCTTTCTTCTGAAATGCTCTTTAAAACTGCCATTTGAACATTGAGTCGCCCCTGCGGAGTCAAGCACATGACCTGCTTGGCGACATGCATAAAAGTTCCTCCGCCGTCATCGGTTTTGGAGTCTTCCGTATAGATAAACTGAAACTTCTGCAAATGATCCCTCTTTCAACCAGCTCATCCGTTGAGCAAAAGGGTTCTGAATCAACACTACCGGTCTTATCCTTGTTTACGTCCACTACAACAGCAAAAATACGCTTATTTATAGTCAGGAGCTTAAAGACTGACATGAAGAAGTATCAAAATGCGGTTTTTGACCACTTTTTAACATTAATATCATGATATTGCGTATATTACTTCAAAATATGGGCCTTTAAAAAAAAACTTATTATTTACTTCAATCAAATTAATCAATTTCACCTTTCATTCCAGATATAATAAAAAATGAGTTATTTGAACAAGAATTGTTGTCCCACCTGGACGAATTCCCCATCGATTTCGACTTGGAAGGCATGAAAAACGACGCATTTTTGAACCCGGAAGCACTGTCCTCAAATGATAGTGCCTATCAGAGTGATTCGCCTTTCAGTGTAGCCGTTTCACCTCAACTGTCGCCCGACTATCGCCAACAGCCGCGCTACCAGCTTGTAAATCCTCCGACGCTTCCTCAAAGTACCGCCGCCATAAATCAACCTCCACAAACCGTCATAATATCGTCGGCTGCGGTGCCTCAAAACCCTTCTCATGTTGTGTACAGCACTTTGCCTATTCATACGAATCAGCACATCATCGTCCAACAGCAATCAATGCCCAGCAAGAAGAAATCAAGTGCTAAGCAGCAGAGCAGCACAGGGCCGATGATTATCCAGAATGTTGGAAACTTGTCCGCCGATCAGGTTGCTCCAGTGGTGTTACAGGTTGTAGAAGCGGTTTGCCGGTTGGAGGCTTTCGTTATGAACTCTCCATATGTTTCAGGCTAAACTGATTACATCGGAGAGTAGTTTGGCGAGTGCCCCAGTCATGTACACTACCGCCAGTCCATCTTCATCTCTGCACACTTTACTCGGCAACCCCCAAATACTCACCACAGCCGGAATACCCGTTAGGATCGATTCGGAAAATAAGGTAGTACATAGAATATTTCATCTTAAAAACTACTACTACTCAACTTTAGGTGGCAATAAACCGAATGCCACCAGTCAAGGAGGTGAAAGTGAAGGAAGTGAAAAGAAGCGCACACAATGCCATAGAAAGAAAGTACCGGACAAGCATCAATGACAAAATCGTCGAACTTAAAAACATTGTTGTGGGAGAGGAAGCAAAGGTGAGTAACTTGACCAGCAAACTTTCCCCATTCCTCACCTTGTTCTGGAAATCTAGTTGAACAAGTCGGCGATTCTTCGAAAAACCATCGACTATATCCGGTTTTTGCAAAACTCCAACGCCAGATTGAAAGAGGAAAACATGGCCCTTAAAATGTCGACCACCCAAAATACCCTCAAAGGCCTGCTCACTAATAACGTTAACTACGATCCAGAAGATACGCCGCCTCATTCGGATGTTTCATCCGAGCATTCATCGCCTTCTAGCCCGGAATTCTCCACCATGGTTAAAGATGATAGCGATGATGAGGTAAGTTCAACCTCAAGCCCCCAACCAGTTGAATCAACAACAATTAATTTCAGGTATTGCCCAATTCCAAAGGAATGCTGGACCATTCCAGGCTGACTTTGTGCATTTTCATGTTAGCCATGGTGGCTTTCAATCCGTTTGGTTTCGCGTTGAAAAAAATTTCTAGCGCTGAAAGCATCAGCATTCCCGGCGGAAGGTCTATGCTAGCATGTACGCTTCAACTTTAAATTTCTCTGGGAATCGTTTAGTTAATAAGGTCGGTTTTAGGGAACGAGCGGCAAACTGTGTCATTTTTTCCTTCATCTCTCATGCTGTGGATTGTAAATATCCTGATTTTATGGTTCTGTCTGGTGAAAATGTTTGTCCATGGCGATCCGATATTATCCCAAAAATCCAGAGAAGCCAACAAGTACTGGATCCACCGGAAACAGGCTGATATTCATCTCCTTGAGGTGAGGACGGTTTTACACGACAGAGTGATTGATTGTGTGACACCCATGTGTTCGTAGGGCGATAAATTCGGGGCGAAACAAGAACTTCTGCGGGCCTTGCAAGCATTTGGCATAACTTTGCCCACCAGTCGGTTGGAATTGTTCTTGTGCTTCTTTTGGCAACTGTTTAGACAAGTCATGCATAGGCTATGGATTGGACGCTATTTATCCAGGCGAGCTGGCGGTTTTTATATGAACGGGTAAGTGAGGTCTGAGCCAGCCCGACTCGTTAGGAGAAATCCAGAATTTCTAGGCATAAGAGATTCGAATGCAAGTCGTCCTGCCAACAGCTGGCCTTAGTGTTCAACGACCTACATAAGGTCCAGCTAATGCAAGGCCCTGAGGAAGCGTGCCATTTATTCGGATTAACCACCTCACTGAATGCTCTCAACCTTGCAGAAGCTGCCAAAGGCCGAATAAAGCCGGCAGATATGATCGACATTTACATCGGAGTAGCTTTGCGAGTCAAAGCCAGTTTGCCCGGATTTTTCCACATTGTTTCTAAGTAAGTAGTAACATATTAGTTGATAAGCTTCTTTTATAATGAACTTTTTAGATACTACTTGGGCCTGGCAAAGCTTGCTTCGATCAACTCTTGCGACCCGATACCGCTGAGACTCAAATGGCTGTTTACGCCCTACGGCTACAAATTCATGTTGTCCTTCAAGTTTTCTGAGCAGTACAAGTCGAAGAAGCTGCCCTTTACTAGACTAGGAAACAATGTGGATCCTCTTATTCAACTAATGAAGGCAAGTGCTTTGCAGCTGTAAGCGCGTGGGGCCTCAGTGTCTAATTTCCCGCAGATATACCACGAGCATCTGTTAGAAAAGGCTTTATCAATTCTGGTATCTCCCGGTCAGAAAAGCGAACTGAGTCAGGATAAGAAAACCGACTTGAACGACGCGCTGACTTATCTGGAATTGTTGAACGACAATACCACAGTTGAGGCAGCCACGGTTTTCCAGAAAAGCTCTACATGTACGTTACCGGTTTCCTATTCGCTTCCCAAATTAAGGGCTTCTTGTTCGTTAGCTTACAAAGACCATGTTGCTGAATGGTGGGCGACCTTCATATCCATAGCCTGTTATTGGCTGTTGCAAGAAGAGGACAATGCTGCGAAGCTGTACAAGAAGCTGGAAAATGTGCCGGAAGCTTTAACCTCCCTTAACGATCCTCTTCCGAAGGCGGTTTTAGCAGCGTATATGGCGCGAAGGAGATATTTAACCATGAGTTTGAAGACGTCTCCAAAGCAAATCGAGCAACAGTGCGAGTACGCCAGTCAATTGTTGGCGGACAGTTTAACTTACAGCAGTTGCAAGAAGGAGGATAGTTTGATCTTGGTAAGTTTGATCTGGATTTAGTGGCATTACAGGAATTGAAGAATAAACCAGTATTAGTAACATTAGTGCATTGTAGTTGCATTGCATGTTATCTCGAAGTGCAGTGTTTCTTCAGTGCAATTAATGTTCCTAAAACAGTCAGCGTTCAGCGTCAGTTTGTAAATTTCAATGAATTCATTAATTTGGTAATAAGGAAGCTTTGAGGGAAATGGTTGAGCAATTCTACTTTTAACCGTATTAACTCTTCCAGTTATCGCAGTTAGTCGTATGTGACTGGCTATTGGAGACCAAAACCTCGCTTTGGGAAGATTGCGTGGAGGATGGCGCAAAGCCCCCCGCTTCCAACAATTGCATGTCGTCCTTCAATAAGGACTTAGCTTCGCTTCGATCCCTCACTCAGCATTTGCCAGTAAGTTACTAAATCGAGTAAATTCGCAAAATGCAACAGCTTCTGTCGTATTTTTAGTTTGCTTTGTCAAGAGTGTTTCTATATGAAGCCACGTTGAGACTGATGGCGGGTGCAGCTCCGGGCAGAACCCAGCAACTGTTGGACAGAAGTCTTCGACACAGACATGGAAAATCTTCCATTATCTGTGGAAAGAGTAAGTTTGGCGCTGTACTGAAGGCTGATTTTTTCATTTTTTAATTTTTCCAGGTGATAAAGGTAATCAGGAAATGGGCAGCGATAGACAGCACGCCACTGCGTTGTATATGGCCTGCAAGCACCTTCCTGGTCAGTTGCTTTCGTCGCCAGGCGAAAGAGCGGGCATGTTAGTGGAGGCCGCCAAAACTCTGGAACGAATTGGCGATCAGAAACAGTTGCAGGATTGTTATAAGTTGATGAAAACCTTAGGCACGAATGCGGTTATTACTAATTAAGTAGTAGAAAGCTGTGAGCGGAATACAAGACTAAAGTGATTAAGTTTGCAGATAGTTGATATCGGTAAGTTGTTTTTATTTATTAGATCCAGAATTTTTTATATTGAACTTTGACGTATGTTGTACTATATTAAGGGATTTTTGAATAAAAATCCGTTTGATCTGATTTTAACCAAATCCTGCCATATAAATGATTTGCCGATCATCCACCAATGAGTTGTACTCCATAACAGGTTTTCTTGCACATCTTATCAATAAACTCCTTGATCAACTGGATTCAGAATCTATTAAAACTACTTCTTGGCCAACTTTTTAACCAATTTCAAAACAGTAACCACAGCCTGAGTGGAGGACAGTAGTTTCTCGGCATGAGTCTTCACATCAACAGTCGGTGCAATGCGAAAAGTTGCAGCGTTTCCTTTCAGGGCCTGCAACAGATACATATGTTTTTTTAATTTACTTTTAATGCTTCGTCCAATCGCACCAGCATTGCATCCTCGTCCGTAGTATCATCTCCAGCAAATATCACTTTCACATTTCCCTTCCACTTGTTTGCGCCGAAGTGTCTATCCAGAATAAGCAGAGCTACGCTCCCTTTGTTCCACTCGACCTTAGGGCGAGCTTCCAAAGCCATATGAGCATTCCCCACTTTGAAGCCTGCCTTTTCTATGATTTGTCGAGCGGTGTTTTCGATCTCGGTCCGTTTTTCTTCGGGAGTTGCACGAAAGTGGAACGTTAAAGATGCCCCTTTGTTCTCGATCCAGGCACCATCTCGCACTACTGATTGCTCCAAGTTTGCGATTAGTTGCTTCACTTGGTTGCTGAATTCGGTCGGAAGTTGGTGAACGTATTTGGTTCCATCTGGATAAATCACTTCTAGTCCATGGTTGCCTGCATAGACAATGTTGTCTATGCCGACCTAAAATAAAATGTTGGGTGCACGGAACTGGATGTTTTTAGCGTTACCATTTGCTTAACGTTGTCAGTATTTCTTCCGGAAATTATTGCCAAAAATATGTTAGGAACTGCGGATAAATCTTCCAGTAACGCTTTGGTTTCAAGGGGAATTGTTGCCAGGTCGGGATGGGCTACTATGGGACTCAAAGTTCCATCGTAATCCAATAATAGGGCGATTTGTTTTGCGTCTTTGAGATATCTGGAATCGGGCTATGAAAGTCTACAGTTCTGTGGATGGTGATTGCAAAAAGGAGGCTGGCTTACTGTGTTAAATGGTCCTCAAAATCGTCAAAACTCCGCCTATTTCCGCAACTCTCCATTTGGTTGTTTTTCAATTAACGCTGCTAGGTTTAACACACGTCCTGCCACGTCCGCTTTCACTAAAGTACTGAAAAACAGCTGATTTTTAAGCTAAAAGTGGACAGTTACGCATAGCCATGTTGCCAATCCGTGTTAGTGTGTTTAAAGAAAAACAGTTGTAATCCGTAAAATTTAAAATTTCTGGGTCAATAGTGGGTGCACAATCAAGACACAAGGAATTTTTTGAAAAAATTCACCAGCTACTCGGGGAATTCAAATGCTACAAGCTTCTGCTGGCATACAGTTTTCTTTCAAGCCGGAATTAAAATATCAGTTGATAAATTATTGCGTAAATTCGGGCCAGAAACATCCACAAGACGTGTTTTGGAATTGATAAGCCGCGAATTGTTTTCTGCAGCTAAAGCTACGTAATTTAGGTCGTCAATAACAAGCCAATTTTTCCACGTGCCAAAGACTAATAAAACACCGTAACAACATGGTATACTCTATTAGGATCACTTACTTACGAACAAAATTAAGAATATCAAAGTGAAAAACCATACTTAAACTAAACTAGGGGTAAATCCTACTAGATACACTTGGTATGGGATTTGCCATAATTTCCACCGCAATGAGCGTGGGGCAAATCGAGAACACTCTTAAAAACACTGTAAATCGATTGGGATCAAAAAATATTCATTTTTAGAATAGGTCACTACTATACTTTGGTGTCCAGAAATTAAAGCTAAAGGTAACGTTCTAGAAAATAAATATATTGCGTACGGCTAAGTTGAAATTTGTGCAATTAACACAATAATCAGTCTACAGAATTGAAGGGCCTGACTGGCCTTCTTACAGTTTAGAAAATTAAGAGTAAATTAATCCGAAAAAAACTTCACAAACGCTATGTTTACATATTTACAATTGAAAGGAATCCACACCGCTACAGTATTACAGATAAGCTAGGACATTTTTTTAATTTCTCGGCTTTAATGGTTTCCCCTCTCTGTAGACAACGTGGTGTATCGATCACAAATAAAATGCTATAAATCTAATGGGAATTATTCGAATTGTTTGGCAGGGCCAGAGTATTTGATAGTCGGTTAGGAGATGGTGGGCTCGAACCTGCCGGAACCTGCAACAACATCAATCATCATTTAGTGTTGTTTCACTCAACCGACTTCATCAACTACCTGCATAGACATTTCAATTTGGACCGCTGATGTGACCGACTTAGCCAGGGAGTTTCTCCGGTAGTTGTTGGGGTCGATGGAGGGTTTCCTTCGACTTAGATGTCGTTCCACCCACTTCAGCATCGTTAGCACTGAATCAGTTGACGGTAAACGGCGTTCAGCCGAAGTTTTGATAATATGCGAGGAAGTAACCCGGAACGTGGCGGCCATTCCCTTCAAAGCCTGAAAAAGCGCTGTTATTCCTACACATTCAGATGTTGGCCTTTGCTACTCACCAGCATGGCGTCTTCATCAGTGGCGTCGTCGCCAACGTAGATGATTCGAATTCTCTCGCTCCAGTCCACTCCGAAAGCCGTTCTGAGGATGTAGATCGAAGCTCTGCCTTTATTCCACTGCACTGGAGGCTTCGCCTCTATAGCACAATGTGCTTTGCCCACTATAAATCCCGCATCTTCAATCATTTTGCGTGCTTGCGACTCCAAGTCCGCCCTACATAAGGCAACGTTTCAAAATGGAATATTCTACGAATCAATCGGTGCTCACCTTAAATGATGGGGTGTCTCCCTGAAATGGAATGTGAGTAGAGCTCCTTTGTTTTCGACCCAGGCGCCGTCCCTGCAAACTGTCTCTTGCAACTGCCTCATCAACTCGCCGACTTTGTTGTGGAACTCTGTGGGCATCGGATGGACGAACTTGGTGCCATCCGGATGAAGAATCTCTAAACCGTGGTTGCCTGCATAGGTTATTCCTTCAATCCCAACCTGCAATTGGACCATTACTCATGTCCCCAAAACACCCCCAGTAGGTTACTTGCCATTTGTTTCACGTTTTCCACATTTCTTCCGCTCACTATAGCGATGTACACATCCGAGAGGTTGGACAGTCGCTCCAGCACTTTCTTGGTCTCGGCAGGAATAATGGCCAAGTCCGGATGAGGCGCGATTGGTGCCAATGTGCCATCGTAGTCGAGCAATAGAGCCAGCTTGAGGGAGTTGCCAATATACCTGCGATGGGGTTTTGTTGTTTAGCCCCTGGACACAGCGGCGGACGGCTAAACCCCACACTCACTTTGCTAGATATTCATCGAAATCGTCCAAAGTGACAGCTGGCATTAGAATGGAACCGACTTCGTCGTGATCGTCTTGAGTTTGGAGGGACCCCATTGCACTCAGAAAGCTCTTCGTCCAGTAGTTGACGTCGTTCAATTTCTCTCTCCTTCTTAAGTAGTTCATTCGGAGAATTCGCTCATCTTCCGGCATGGTGAGTGCCCTGGAATGTCCACAGTTCATTGATTTATAATCAGGGAGGTTTAGTCTGGTAGGACGCGATGTTCTTGGAGCATTTAATTTTGTGACCGAAAAAGCGTCTGCGTATAATACGCTTTTTTTTTTAGCAGAAGTTTCATGGACGCGCCTCGTATAATATTAAAAGAACACACGGTTCTAAACGATTTTTGTCTGCAAATACGGTGCTAGTGAGTGAACCAAGTGAAGTGCCCAGTGTTATAGAGATGAAGGCGTGCAAACCGCCTGGACTTCCTAAGAAGACTGTAGCTGAAACAATGATGTAGAACTGACCTATGAATAATTTCCGAAGCATCGTCGATTTCATAGGGGTTGCAAATTAAAGCTTCATGCATAGTTTCGCCGGCTCCGGCAAAGGGTGAAACGATCAGCACCCCAGGGGGGATGTTGATTTGGCAGGCGACAAACTCTTTGGCCACCAGATTCATTCCGTCCCTTAAAGGAGTGACTAAACCGACAGCGGCATCTCGATAGAACGCTGCCAGTTCGTTTTGCGACAAGCTGCCATAGATGTACCTGAAAGGAACACAGCTGATTGAACACCCATCGATGGTAGGGGTAGGTTTGTTACCTAATGGGTGACCAGTTCGGTGTGGTGAACCGGCCATTGATCCGCCCAACCAGTTGGTCCATTTCCTCCTTCAATTCTTGATACTCCTTAACGTCCGTCCGGGAGGGCACGGAGATTTGCAGCAGCGAAACCTTTTCCAGATGTTCGGGAAATTTTTCCAACAGCTTCTCGAACGCTAACAGTCTGTGCACTAAGCCTTTGGTATAATCCAGCCTGTCTACTCCTAGGATGATTTGCTGGTTCGTCGATAGGAGCTTGGGCGCCTTCTCGGCCAGCTCGACGAACCGCTCGAACGGAATACCGATCGGGAGTGGGCGCACCCTGACTGTGCGCCCACCATGCTCGACCAGCAGATTCTTCCTATCCACTCGGCAGCCCAAGTTTCTTTGGCAACAGTCGACAAAGTTCAAACAGTAGTCGGTAATGTGGAAGCCGATCATGTCGCAGGCGAGCATTCCCTGCAGGATTTCGTCGGACCACGGGAATAGCCGAAAGATGTCCCATGGAGGGAATGGAATGTGTAGGAAAAATCCCAGCTTGCATGGGATTCCTTCGTCTTCTGCATACTGGAACGCAACAAGAGTTAGAATCCAAGTTAGTTGGAACTTGGAATGGTTTACCCAAAGACATTAATAAATTGACCAAGCTAGTCATTCATAAATCCCGATTTGTTTGGGTCCAACATTAAATTCTATCCATCGGCGATTTATCAATGAAAAACAGGTGGTATGGATAAAATAGGTACCGACGCATGTTTTATAGACAGTAGAATTAATCCTCGCTCGCCTGGCCACTAGCCATCGGCATAGTAAATATTTATTTTAATTAATTTATTGTGACAATAAAATATTTTTTGATTTTCTACCTTCATATCTTCATTACATGCTTGAAGGTTGACACAATCATTACATTGAAAAACTATTTGAAATATCTGAAACCCGTGGAAATGAATATCTCTTTTAATTGTCGCCTATGTTAATTGAAAATTATACTATGAAGGAAATAGGCAAAAAGGGGGTATTCGACTGTATAAATAATGCGAAAATTAACTGAAACTTTTCAATAATAATAAATTTAAGATATAATAATAACAGGAAAATAAACAAAAGAAAAATATTTTTTTAGATTTTTGAAGGTTTTTTACTATTTGATTTCCCTATGATTTTCTAATTAATGGTAAAATCAGAAGATTTCGGAAATAT